ACGATAGCTTTGTGTCCTAAATTACCCAGAAAGCTTGGTTTTGAAAACAATCCACAACAGCAGAAGCTTTTCTTAGTCTGTAAACTCAATGATTAGTACTCACCGTGTGCTGCAGCGAATTCCAGAGACAGCAGAGCAGTAAACAAACAGGCCCAACCTGCTGCCACCATGGTTCTCGTCTGCTGGATCAAACAGGTCACATTTCATTCAAATCCTGTGTGAATTCCCCGGCATAGCTCATAGTCTCAGGAAAGCGGACTATCTGTAATAAATAACATTTCTTGACACGTTTCCTGAGCCGCTTTCCTTTAAGGGAAGTGAGACATGCCCCTTTGACAGCTCACGAAGGACGGACAGTGAAGTGTGGCTCAAAACACTCCCAGTGAAGTTTGAGGAAGTTCCCGTGATGGGTGTTTACTTGAGAAAAGGTCAAATACTATTCAGGAATTTCCTTTAAAAAAAAAAAAAAAAAGTTTCATCTTAAATAATTAAAGGAGCCCTCTCATTGTCTGACTCTCTCTCTTTATCTCCCTCAATCAGTCCTAATCTTTCACTATCGTTCTCTTGGCCTTGATAGTAGTTTCACTCAGGTGTTATTCAGGTGTTAATGAGCAATAGTAAATCCCTGTCATGTAAGTAGAAAACTGTACTAACACTAGTATCCTGCAGAAAATGTGCAGACAGAGAGTGTAAAAAAAAACAGACTGCAAATTAGTAATAAAAAGGATGCCACCTCTATAATAGTCCAAAAATATATATTAATGCTTCATTGATTGTTAATGAGAAAATCTTTTTTCATTAATAGTTTAAAAATATTGATTGGACTGACTAAGGTAGCATATCAGGGCATTTGCAAACAAGTTAATTTGCAGCACTTTTTAAAAAAATTTTTATACGCATCTTAATAGAAAATCAAAATTTCCCAAAATATAATTCCTACTTTTACTTGGACAAAGAAGAATTGAATTAAATGAAGTCTTATAAGCAATTATAATTGCAAACTTTAGCTTGAACAAGGTTTTTGTTTTACTATATGCCACTATGTTGGTTGTTATGAATGCTAACAAGCATTTACTGCGTCAGATTATATGAAATCAAAGAGGCTGTTAACATTCATGTTAAACCTGGCAACAAAAAAGACTTTTTAGATTTATGCATTTGAGTACACAGTTGTGTACTCATATAATATTATCCAAAATACGATTGCATTTTGTTTTCCTTTTATGTTTTTGATAGTTCACTCAGAGAGCTTTTTTAATGTGTGGGTATCGTTCCACTGTGCTGTGTGGGGTTACCGCCCAGACACAGCACAATGGAACTACGGAAAATTACGCTCACAGTTGCACAGTCTGAAAAAAATTGGGGTTCAGTTAGACAAATTATAATTAGACCTGCAGCAATGAATTCATTAGTTATCAGTTATGATACATTTTTCAGCTGTTTTGATAGTTGGTTAATCAGTTTGGGTAATTTAGGGAGAAAAAAAGTCAAAATGATCTGATTCCAGTTTCTTTGATTTTAATATTTTCACGTGTTTTTTCTCCTCTATGACAGTAAACTGATTATCTTTGAGTTGTGGGCAAAACATGACATTTGAGGTGGTCATCTAGAACTGCAGAAATACTGATTAACATTTTTCATCATCTTCTGACGTTTTATAGACCAAACAACTAATCAATTAATAGAGAAAATAATCAACAGATTAATTAATGATACAAACAATCATTAGTTGCTGTTCAAATATTGCATACTTTAGGGGGTTGTAAAACTGGATCTCCAGTAGTTATATGTGTAGAAACATCCATCCGCTATCTATCCATACTTAACCCTCACTAGGACAGGTCACCAGTCTATCACAGGGCTACAGTGAGAAACAGACAAGTACACTCACATTCCCATCTATAGACAATTTAGAATCACTAATTAACCTCAGCCTGTTTTTGGACTGTGGGAGGAAGCCGGAGAACCTAGAGAGAACCCATGCTACGTGGGGAGAACATGCAAACCCAATGGTGGTGACGGTGCTAACCACCGAGTCACCGAGCAGCCCTATGTAAAAACAATTTGCAAAAATGTAGGTCGTATGAAACCAGTACTAAAATTCACAGATACCAGCTAAGAACAAAGATACTACAGGTAAATAGTACTATTGAAAAAACAGAAACCATTGATTTAACTCATCATGAACTATGAGTTACCATAGTAAAGAACAGACTGTAGCTGTAATGTTGGTGTTAATTTGAACTCACCATGCTGAGTGTTGAGGCTTGAGACAGTTGCGTGTTGCTTGCACTGAACTTCTGAGGAGCTGTTGGGTTTTTACTCCTTGTCTTTGTAGCTTCCTCTACTGTTCCGCTAACCCCTGCATCAAATTTCCACTTGACAGAAAAAACAACCGCTTGCTTTGCAGTAAAGGAGGGGCGCAATGACTTATTTAAAACTGATCAAGGTTTTGTTTCAAGGCCACCAGACCTCAGAGATGAAAGCGAATGTTGCGTTGATGCAATAAAGACTTTATAACTGTACACTTTATCACACGTGTCTAGTTAGGCATAAATTCCCGAAAACCCTTAAGACACTTCTGTTTTTGAGATGAACCTCTTTCTGAAAACTTTGTGATGATCTTTCTGAGTGTGACCTCCTTTATGAGGATTATGAAAAGAGCCAAGGGTACAATGTTCACAGTTTTGTGTGCTTAGAGGCTTAGGTTTATTGCAATGACAGCTTCCAGTCAGTGTTAATCTCCTGTGTGTCAACACTTCAGTTCTGACCGTGTGGGTGACTTATGGCATTTCCCATGTTTTTTTTTTTCAAAATCTTTTGAAAAACATTTAACATTTTGTCACATTTTTGTTGAGCTGTGCTTTTATATAATAGTCAAACAATTTTTAAGCAACTTTTGAAACTTTGATATGAAAAATGCAAATTATGAATGAAATGAAAAATAAACTAGGTCGTTCAGGCTAAATTACATATGACTGTAGTAAACAGAGCTGAAGAAGCCAGAAACGAAACTGCCAAAATACATCGAAGAAGAAACAAACAAAACTTTGGGAAATTATGGGAGAAATGGAAAAAAGTCTTCAGAAATTGTTTTTATCTGGGAAAGTTGTATTTACCCCCGGATGAATCGCTACCTTATTGCGGTGGAGGGGTTTGAGTCTCCCTGTGATCCTGGGAGATATGTTGTCTGGGGCATTAGCCCCTGGTAGGGTCTCCCAAGGCAAATTGGTTCTGTGGGAGGGACCAGACAAAGAGCAATTCAGAAGACCTCAATGAACAGCAGCAAAAGGAGAGCTGCCACCTTGCCTGGAAGAGGGAAATCGGGGCACCCCCCTGGAGCCAGGCCTGGGTGGGGGAGCTTGCCGGGGAGCGTCTGGTGGCCGAGCCTTGGGGCCCCGTGGGGCTCTGTCGGGCACAGCCTGATAAAGTGACACAGGGCCACTGCCCAGAGCGCCCACCACCCTCAGCGCAGAGGATCGGGGTCAGGTGCTATGCCCACCAGGTGATAGGCAGGAGCGGGCGTCCTGGCGTATCGTCCCCTGGGGGAATAGAGTAGCTCTTGGGACATGGAATGTCACCTCACTGGTGGGGAAGGAGCCTGAGCTGGTGTGAGAGGTGAAGCGTTACTGGCTAGATATAGTCGGGCTCACCTCCACCCACATCAAGGCCTCCGGCACCATACTCCTGGAGAGGGGTTGGACACTCTCCTTTTCCGGAGTTGCCCACGGTGAGAGGCGCCGGGCAGGTGTGGAGATACTCACAAGCCCCCGGCTGAGCGCCGCCTTGTTGGAGTTCTCCCCGGAGAACGAGAGGGGCGCCTCTCTGCGACTGCGTGTTGCAGAGGGGAAAACTTTGACTGTCATTTGTGCTTATGCGCTAAACGACAGTTCAGAGTATTCGGCCTTCTTGGAGTCACTGGGTGGTGTCCTGGAAGGGGTGCCGCCTGGGGACTCCATAGTTCTCCTGGGAGACTTCAATGGTCACGTGGGCAAGCTGGATCCGATGGCGGGGAAGGCTACCGGACAGACCTGGTAAACCCACACGTGTAGTGTGGGTGAACTGGGAACCTCAGGCAGAGGCCCCTGTCCGTGGGGTTTTCAAGTCCCACCTCCAGAAGAGTTTCTCCTGCATCCCAGGGGAGGTTGGGGACATGGAGTTAGAAGGGGCCATGTTCAAAGCCTCCATTGCAGAAGTGGCCATTAAGAGCTGTGGCCAGAAGGTCACTGGTGCCTGTCATGGCAGCAACCCCAAAACTAGCTGGTGGACACCGGCAGTGAGCGAAGCCGAAGAAGGAGACTTTTTGGGCCTAGCTGTCTCCCAGACTGGGGACTGGGAACCAGTAAACACGTCCTCTGCTGAGGGGGCTGTTCAGTTCATTAGGACGCGGCCAAGAGTAAAATTATTGATAACCGGAAACCATTGCAGGTGCTGCTCATAATGGACTGGGCAATGAAGTTAATTCCAACCAGTCGCGGTTTGGAAAGAAGGGGAAGTCCTGGCATCCATCGGTGGCCATCACTGAAGCAGGAGATGGAATGATTGAGGTAGTAATCATATGCCTTCTCTTCTGTCTTTATCGCTCGCTGACCACTGTAAACTAGTTGCTCATGAGCCCACTCTTTGTTGCGCTAACCAATTACAAATTTGGATAACTGATAAGAAAGCCAGGAGAGACGTGAAAGCCTATATTCCTCAGAGTGGTAATTTCAAAATTTCATTGACTCTCACTTATACTAATTGTCCCATTATGAGATCAAGGCTTTAAATCAGAAGGGAGCTAGAACTGTGGCTTTGCTTTCGATCAGAGTGTTTGATCATATTTATTATGCCTTGCTCCTTGATAGTTTTTACAAAGGCCATCATTAAGCTGCCGATTCTTATTTTCATGGCTACGGACAATTATTAAACATGCTAAATCAGTGGACCTGCTGTGGGGGTGTTTGTGTTTATGAGAAGAGACCAGCAAAATGAAGATGAAAAAAACCCTCTGTACCTCATTTTCCTTGCAAATTTCCAACTTTATTAACAAAGTATTTCAGCTTTACAATGACTATGATCACGCCATGAATTTTGTTTTACGACAGTATCCCATGGTTCTTCTGCCATTGGAACTAAAGTGTGTGGTGAACGGTTCCATGGCAGGCTACAGTCAGTGCTGGTTACTGCTAAAAACAAAACTCAAACGGAAATAAATATTTACAATTTTTTAGCATTTAACTTAGCTCTTTGTGTTTCAGGGTTGCAAAACACTGCCTGCATAAATAAAATACATACGTTTATACATTTTTCACGAGTGCATACATCTCTTTTTGGATGTGGCTCTTTGCAGTTCCTTTTCTGTGGTTCATTACCGGTAAATAAATGTCATGTTTGCCGTTTGCTTGGTGGCTTTTTATGAAGCTGTAGAGATATATACATATATATTTACATATTTACACTTTAAATCCTACATATATACATTTCCCCATGCTTTCTGATCCACTTGGTTTGTTCTTTGTTGACATGATTCTTCAGTCTACACCTGTCACAGAATCTCTACTTCATAACTATGGATGGAACAAACCCTGTGAAGATCTGCTCATTATTACCTTTTCTTGATCAGCTACTTTGGTTTCAGCACATGCCATACATGTTACAGTGATGGACCTTTTCAATCTGAGATGTGTTTTCTAGTTGAACAGTTATACAATTAGAAGTCAAAATCTACCAGTTGAGGCGACCTTTCCATCTGGAGTACCTTTGGTTGTAATTGTGTTATAGACTTGATTTGGAGTGTGCACCTCATCGTAACCCCACAGTATTCCTGAATTGTCTGTGAATGAGCACCGCATTTGCATTGGAAACCACATACTCCATCATAAGCTTAGCAACGCAGTTTTCTCAGGATACACCACCCTCTTGCCCCTGACTGGCATCTGATACCTCATTTCTTTCCAAAACTTGGAGGAGGGGGAGAGGGATGGTGACCACTGTGAGTCCTTTCCACCTTGTTCCTCATCTTCTCTCCTGCTCATACATGTCCTCCACCTTTGCCTCGTCCTCAGGTCCTTCCACCAACACACAGCGCCCTGCTTCTTCCTCAGGTGGCGCACTGACTCTGGGAATAGAGCCAGTTGAGCTGGTGAGATCTCCTCCAACTCCACCAGAACCACCTGTAAAGCAGTGCTTGGATTAGAACCAGGGTGCTTTTTGAGCATTTGTCTGTGAACACTAGTCAAATAATCACTGTGAATGTGTTTCTTTTTTTTTTTTTGTCTTTGTAGAAAGTGGAATTAAATTCAACAAGTCGTGTGCTGTGAGCGTTCTGAGGGAATTAGCTCTGGGCTCTGATGTCCTCATGTCATTCCATAAACCTGCATTGACTTTATAAGTTTATTTATCTTTCCACAACTCTGAAAACTCCATATAAAGTTGCTTTCTGAAGCTGTTACCAGTTTGCAAGCATTTGTATTAGATACCCCAAGATAAGTAAGAACTAGCACAAGGGCTGGTCTGTGCACACAGTACAAGTAAATACAGCAAATTACTTGTTGTTGTTTTTATTAGTAAAAATAAAAACATATAACCCTTCAGTAAACAAACTAAAATAATTCTTGGAATGCTGATGTAGTTGTTTTTTGGTTCATTTACTTAAAAATAATGCAAACAAACAGTCACTGGGGCATGTACAAACATTTGTGCACCCGACTACGTTAACACTGAGTAACACCTTTTAATCTTCCTTTGTCAAGCTAAAATTTCATTTCTAATTTGCATCTCTAATTGAGCTTATAATATTTTTTGACCCACTGCCTTACTTCCTGAAGTTTCTTGTAATAGATGAGTCTCGTGTATTTAGTCACTATTTCGGTAAATGTAAGTGTCACATTGGAGGCAGTGGGGGCTCAATATTAAAGGACTCTGAGATCAGCACACGGGGCCGTAGCTTGACTTTTATTTCGTTTCTGTTAATATTGACTCTCCTTTTAGCTGTGGTTTGAGTTATTCATTTGCTCGACAGTACACTTCCTCCATCGTCTGCACGCTAACTTTGTTTGCTGTTTGATTCTGAGCCAGAACTTGTTGTCTGGCTTGTTGCATGCCTCTGCCTCTGAAAATGTTTTGCAGCAGTGGCTCATAGGTGTAAAAAAATGTAAATCTGCTGTATAGAATTTGCATTAACAGGTGTGTTTTCTCACCTTGAGAGATCCCTCCAGGAGCGCTCTGTGCATAGCTGCCATACACTCAAACTGCTGCCATGTGTCTGGACTGGATTTGTCACTACAATCACATGTCATGCTGCCGCTGGTTTCACTTATCTCGCGTTCACTTTCATCGCTGATATCACCGCTCTTGGAAACGTTGTTATTGTTGCTGCTCGTGCTGCATGTGTGTCTTTTTCTGATGAAAGTGGAGGCGGTGTAGAGCAGGAGGAGGCGGCGGCTGGCTTGTATGTTCTCTTCTATGGAGTCCACTGTGGCTGCAGGAGGAAACAAAGGATAAAGACAGCGATTTAGCAAGGGTTGTATGAAACAGTTGGAGTACTCTCTGGTTACATTTAGAGATTTCTTTGGTAAATTTAAAATAAGTAAATATAAAACATTGCAGCAATCAACAAAATTCCCTGCACTGTTTCTTCCCCCCACTGTTTCTGACTTTATCTGAAATGCCATCAGGAAATGACAGTTAAGAACCTCTGGCCTTGTCTGTTGGATAGAAAAACAAAGTGAAACCCTTCTAACTCCAAGCAAGCTGCAGGAATGTAAAGCGCAGGAGTCATGGTGCATCGCTCCACTGTGTAGCATTAATGCAGGCACATGTACATAAAAAAGTCGTCAGAAGAAAAGCTTAACTGCAGTCTAATCACAAAAGTCACCGTCTTAAGTATGCAGAGCAACATCTGGATGAGCCAGACTTAGTTTGGAGACAAGTACTGTGCACAGATGAACTTAAAATCAAGCTCTTTGGCCACTAAAGGCATACTTTGAGAAGCAAAATGAATTGCAGTTGCATTTTATGAAAAGAAATGCAACTGTTAAGCATGGAAGTGAAATACTTATTGAGTTGCAGCCAGAGGCACAGGAGAATGAAGAGGGCCATTCCAAAATATTCAATCTTTTATCACTGGCCTGTTCTAGAAACCTCAGTCTCCTGAACCAACTCAAGTTTTTAAAACAAGCCAATGATAAAAGCATAGATATGTTGGGATGGCCCTCATGATCTGTGACTGACGCATCACTGATAATGTGTTGGTATATTTTACACATGCTGCAAAACAGCCGAGAATTATTTCAAAATTCCACACGCTCTGCTATAAAGAATTCAAAAAAATGTGGTTAAGTGCATTAACATTGGAAAGAAAGGCTCATACTCTTATGCCAGCTTGCTGCAGGGAATGCGTTTACATAGTTTCACCCCAAAAATCAACAAGAGGCAAACAAGGCAGTAAAATTTACTCTAAGAGGTGCCCAGACTTTTGCATACAGTGATAGGCTAATACAGTGTTTTAAACACAGGCCAGTGGGTCTGGGCTGTATAAGAGGCAAATAACAGTGCTAGCTCTGCTGTGTCAGCATCTTACCCTGCCCAGGCAGGCAGTCACGGCCTGCTATGAAGAGTTTGTAGTCACAGGCCTGTTCCAACACTTGAGGCAGTGTGTGAAGGGCAAACGTCTCCACTTCGTTGCTGAATCCAAAGTCGTAGGGCTGTGGGTACGCCACATACGCATCGTATAATTTCCCGTCCAGGTCTGAGACAGTAAACAAAGAGTTCATTAGAGGAAGTAGGCAGTTCTTACGCCATTCTAGAGAAGTCCCTCACCCCAACAAAATGCAACAAGACTGAAACACTCAGTCGGAGGTACTTCAACAAACAACCATCAAGTGTAAGAAATGAGTTTCAAAGAGAGCAGATAAGGTGCTGATTTAATTGACCTGCTCTGTTTGTGTTTCCTTACAAGACTTCAGCCTGATATCTCCAGGCACATCACAGCTGACACCACTGTTGTGACCAATGACAGACAGAGCTGCCAATAATGATCTATTTTTCACAATATAAACATTATACAGATCATGCAAAA